GAATATCTACTTTTTTGACTGTGACTTTATAAGGGCTAGTTAACATGTGCCGCCATCATTGTTACCCCTCTAAAAAAGTGATCCAAGAAGGATCACTTTTCAGATGCACCTGACAGGAGGTTCGGAGCACCCATGTTAACTATTGAATGCCCGGTGCACCATCATGCTTGGCGTCGGTACTGCCTGCTAACTGCTACCTGTGCTTTTTCCAAACCAGCACCATGTGGTGGCATGTACTAACATTGCTGCCTGGTGGCTTCAAAGTCAGAATGTGTGTGTGTGGGGGGGGGGGGGAGGGGGGGGAAATTGGTGGCTCAACCACCTGTTTTTACTGCACCTCCACCTGCCTGTGCAAATGAGACCAAAAAACTAGAATTTGTTTTATATTTTTTTAACTAACACTGATAGAAATGAATAGGCTGACATTGCCCACCTTGTCAGTTATGTGGTTGCTCTGGCTTCCACACTTTCGACTCACTGATCCGGAATAAGTATGCAGATCTGGAATTCCGACTTCACAGTATACTTGTTCCAGGTCAAGGATTCCAAAAGAATTAACACCAGAGACAGCTAGGCAACCAACATCTTCAAAAGAAGGTCAGCAGCTTACATATTTCTCTCATTAAAGGATTCCTTTAAGTGTGGTAAATGAGGGGTAGTGTTTTGGAGACTTCATTGTTAACAGTTTAACCTCATGAAAAAGATATACTAAGAGAACTAACGTTACAGGATTGCACTCTATTTTGCATCTGTTAATGATGATACTACACTTAATCTGGGTGGCCTGAGTACTCAAAGGGCCTGGAATTCTATTCTTAGACATTATCTTTTAATAACACTTAGATATTAAATCACGGGCGAAGTGCAGCAGGGTGCCCTCCTTGCGAAGACCTGACACTAGATTAAGTTTATAAAAACAGATGATAACAATGGAAAGTCTAAAAATAGATGCAGACAATGTAATCCCTGCTTTTGACTGCCAAGTAACTATCAAGATAATTTATTACTAAACTACTGTGTAACCTGCTCCAGATTTCGTACAGGCTTGTCATCTATTACAGTGTCGCTTGCAGTGCTATGAGCAAAATGATTAAAATCTCCAGAGATTTATGAACAGCACAGGAAATCCCTACATTGGTCATTAATAGTGCATTAACTATTTCTAGTGACAGGCTGTACTGCACAGATAGAGGAGCATCTTCTGCACTCGTTTTTGCTTCATATACAATAAGGTAGGATCTGTGGTTATGAAAAAGAGGTTATGTGTTTCACTTTCTGTAGACCTTATATGCACCAGAGGTGGAGAGCACATTTGCTTTTGTTTGACAAGGGTTGCGCTCATCACATCCTGAGTGTATGTTGGCTTTGTGTTGCAGCCAGACACCTCCAGTGTCATTGGTTTTGGTTCAAAAGTCAGCCCTACCTTGATTAAGGCAATATACTGTATATGGCCTGGCCGGGAATAAAGGGGGGTACCTCCAGTCCTCCTGTATGGGGCCCAGGACAGCATGGGGGCCCAGGTAGCTGGGTAAATCAAAAGTGGACAGTGATGGTGATTGTTAGCTGCGCCATCTAAACATGCAATGTAAAGCTCTATTATGCAAAGAAGAAGCCATTTCTGAACATGATCCATAAAACACCGCCATCTTCTTTAGGCCAAAGTATATTTAAAATGGTCTGTTGCAATGTGGAAAACTTATCCATGATCAGACTTTTTCAAATTTTGCCATGCTTTTTGGTAACCATGGGCACCATGTGCTCCGTACTAAAGAGTAGAGAGATCTCCTTGCTTGTTATCAGCACTGAGTTCAAAATCTTGTATCTTTGATAGTATGGGGGTGTGTGTGGAATGGACAGCTTCTGGAAACGCACCATCAATAATGAAAGATATATTCAAGTTTTAGAGCAGCACATGTTCCCATCCAGATGACGTCTTTTTCAAGGAAGGCTTTACATATTTCAGCAGGAAAATGCTAAACCACATACTGCATCTATGGCAACAGCATGGGTCTGGGTACCTAACTGTCCTGCCTGCAGTCCAGTTTTTTCACCAATTGAAAATATTTGGTGCATCTTGAAATGAAAGATATGACACAAGAAGACCCAGTACTCCCTGCTTTACTTTTTGATTGACAGCGCACATCAATGGTCAGATTTGAAAGTCACTATTTGAGTGAATAGTGGCTATGGACCACCCATTGCAATGCGCTGGCAATTAAGAGCCAAGTAGACTAGTTCCCCATTAGGTTCTGTCCATGCAGAGTACAAAACTGCTCAGCAATATGCCTGTCAGTGTAACAGGGGCAGAGGCCAGGGTGGGATGAAGAAGTGAGCAATATGTACTCCCTGACCTTAGTGCAGGCACCAACGGATTATTGTACTTGTCAGGTACATGAATTGAGTGCAAGCACCGACCTTTTGGTGCTGCGCCCCGACAGAACTATAAAGAATAATAACAAATAACAATGAAAACTCTGCGCCACAGGCAAAACCAAAAGAAACCAAAAATAAGGAAACAAGGAGAAATGTGATTATGGCTGCTGCAGTCTTCAAAATGTGTCTAACTTCCACATTAGTGAGTCCAATAAAAGTGTATATAGGGCGCTGCCAATAAAATTTGAATCAAAATTACTGTACAATTTTCCACAAGTGAAAATGCAAAAAATAAATAAAAGAAATGAACAACACCAGAAAATACAAATAATGTCCGATGTATCAGTAAGTCCTATTCAAATGATAATTGCTTGAAAACCAAAAGATAGGTGAACAGGTACTGGTACCATTAGTAACAGAAAAAAACAGGTGACCACTTCCAGGTGCTCTAGGTGACCCCACATGGATTTGCACTCGCCACAATGGATGGATCTTCTATTATTAGATAGATCTTACTGCGCTTTTTTTGGTTTGACCCACTCTGTGTCTTGTCACCAACTTGACCATTCGTATGTAACAGGAATGCAATTCCTTCCCACTCAAAAAACAGTAACAGGGAAAAGGTTAATTGTGCAAAGCAGCCGACTCTAATAAATCATGTAAAACCTAACAATAAAACAACAGTCACATGTGTATGTGCCTAAGGACCGGCACCAGGTACATACAGCGCTTGTGGTTAAGATGACTGCCACCTCTCCGAGAACAGGAGCCAGCTTGCATTCCAGGAATGGGATATGATGTATCAGTTGGGGAACACTGCTTCAACTAGTTTCGTCTGTGATTGAACGAAGTTGCAAGCTTCCTGAAGACGTCTATGTTGCCTTCCTAAAGGCAGTCATCTTAACCACAAGGGCTGTATGTACCCGGTGCCGGTCCTTAGGCACATATACTTGTGAGTGTGGTGATATTGTTAGGTTGTTTTAATAAAGTCGGCTGCTTTGCGCAATTAACATTTTCCCTGTTACTGTTTTTTTTTGAGTGGCAGGGTATTGCATGTGAAGGAATCGCATCTTGGTTCATAGGAATGGTCAAGTTGGTTACAAGACACACAGTGGGTCCAACCAAAAAAAGCTCAGTAAGACCCATCTAGTAATAGAAGGTCCATCCATTGTGGTAAGTGCAAATCCATGTGGGGTCACCTGGAGCATCTGGAAGTGGTCATCTGATTTTTCTGTTACTAATGGCACCAGCCCTTGCTCACCTATCTTTTGGTTTTCAAGCAAGTATTATTTGAATGGGACTTACTGATACATCTGACATTTTTTGTATGTTTTGGTGTTGTTCACGTATTTTATTCAATTATTGCATTTTTACACGTGGCAAATTGTTTAGTAATTTTGATTCACATTTTTTGGCAGTGTGATCTATATACACTTTTATAAAGAATAATAACCTTTATGAATTCCCTAAATTGTGTTTGGCTTGGGATACACTTTAATTACCTGCCTCTTACAGGTAAATTGTTGCTGTTTGTGGAATCAAAGACAATATGGACATTAGACTATGGCTTATTCAATCAACGACAGTATCTGGGAATGGGGCCAAGAGTTACATTTCAGGAGCCTTTGCAGATGGTAGCAGTTATCCCATTGTGGATACATTCTTTAAGTAAGTGCTGGCAGAGACGATTAGATGTCAAGTATAAAATGGCTATATCAAATACAGTAACTTCCTATGTATGACCAGCATAAGAGTCTAACCTTTCACAGGTGTTAGTGAGACTATAAGGGGCATGTCTAGGACATATTAAGGACATATGCCCCTTGTTCAGCAGGAGGTATACCTTCTTTTAATTACATTCACCACAAAAGGGACAACATTTTAATGGCAAGTGCCAGAGAATGTGCAGCAAATTCAGTAAAACAAATTTACATAGATTCATAAGGACCTTTACATATACAGTATTCTCCTAAGTAACTACCAAATACTAGTAAGCAGGGGTGGCAAAAACACATCTTAACTATGGGGTTTTACCACCCCTCCAAATTGCAAATGTATATGAATCCTTACTGTTCTGAGCCCCCTATAAGGCTTCTTTCACACTGATGTGCTGAGGTTTATCTGCACCATGAGTGCACCTACAACTTTCCTGGGTTAGCTTTGCCATAGACTTCTATTTTATACTACAGGTGTGGTGCACTTTCTGTAAGCGCACCAAAAACTCCTGGATTCAAGAGCTTTAGTGCGCTTTCAAAAAGTGCACCAAACCCGCAGGATATATGGAAGTCTATGGCTAAGTGCAGCAAACCCGCAGGAAAGCTGCAGGTACAATGCACTGCACCCACGGTGTGGGTAACCTGCAGCGCATCAGTGTGCAAGCAGTCCTGTACTATTATACCCAGTGTATCGCTTCACACTGACCTGAAGATCTCTTCTTTCCTCCTGCTGGCACCACTCTGGAGACCACTAGCTGGGATAAGAGGTGGAGTCAGGGGCGGACTGACCATTTGGAAACTCGGGCACTGCCCGAGGGTCCGGGGTCAGTAGGGGGCCCCATGAGATGCCCCTGGTACCTTTTTCATAGGCTTTTTTGAGTTTGGGCAAGGACACAGGGGCCCCATGATCACCTATTGCCCGGGGGCCCCATGAGTTGTCAGTCTGCCCCTGGGTGGAGTGCAGTTGGTATCACTCCGCAGGGGACAGGAGCCAGCACTACAGAGGAGGTATCAGCTTATGTGGCTCTTGCTCCCGACTACAGCTCCAACTTTACAAGTAGTCCCTCTGCATTGCACTCTGTTTGATGCTCTGGGATGGCGAGTCAGCAAGCCTAGACTAAGATCTACCAGCCACCTGGCCTACTGGTTGTTGACCCCCATATTACGCTAATTCTCTCAATCTAGAATTTAGAACCACTTCAAAATAACAAAGATATCTCCTTAATGCATTCTTTTCATTATGGTAAAAAAAAAAACTTTCACTGTCTGTTCTTCCCACACCCCCTAACACTTACCTCCTCCGATCCAGTGTTGTGCCCAGCTGCAGGTCTTCTCTCCCCTTTTCTTCTTCTCACAGGCTTCACTGAGAGAAGCATGAGCATTGGCTACTGCTGCTGTCAGTCAAATCCTGTGAGGAGGGAGCAAGGAGCGGGGCCCCAGCCGTGATGTGCATCTATGGACACACACAGCCCAGCTCAGGAACACTATAGTAAGCTGCTTGTTTTGGGGCACACACAGAAAAGGATGAGAGGAGAGTGCAAACGGGAGACTCCAGAAGAGGCAGTAAGTACAACATGTTTATTATTTTAATTAAAAAAAAATTAGACTTTACAATCACTTTAGAAAGACAGTTATGAAAAAAAAGTAGCAGTGAAAAAAAAATAGCATGGAAAAAGGTTGCAAAGGCTTTTTTTTTTTTCTTTTTGGAAAGAAACATACAGGTTTTTACTTACTTGTGCTTTGCGAAGTGGTATTGCACAGTGCAGCCGTCAAACCTCCTCTTCTAGGGTCCTTTGCCAGCACACTTGGCTCCTCCTCTTCTGTGCGCACCACCATAGCAAGATGCTCGCTATAGGGGCAAACCTGTGGGCTTGCTCCTGAGCTGCGCTGAGTGCAGCTTGGGCCCGCCCCCTCTTTTCCTCACAGGATTTGATTGTCAGTAGTAGGAGCCAATGGCTTCCGCTGCTGCCTCTGTGTCTTGGGAGAGAGACCAGTGCCCCTGCAGATGGGTACAGCACTGGATCAAGAGAGGTCTCAGGTAAGTATAGAGGGGGTATAGGGGGCGATACAAATACTGGAATGTTTTTTTTACCATAATGCAGGGAATGCAGTAAAGTATAACTACAGGCAAAACCTTTGTTTAGTTGTAGATAGAATTAGAACACCTATTAGGTTTGTATTGCTGTCTGTGCTCCTGTTATGGAGATTCACCCTCTCTATTTGTCCTGTTTACCATTATTATCGAAAGTGAAAGTAAAGAATAGTCCAAATTTTGGGTTGCCCCCAGAAAAGTAATAGAGGGGAATTTTCCAATTTTCCAAAGGAAATTAAGGTAAATCTCCCCAGTGGGACACAGTTGGAAAAAAAAAAACCCCTGACAGGGTTTGTATACCTCCCTTGCTGTATTCAAAACAAGGAAAAAAAAAAAGCTTTGCCTATAGTTCTACTTCAAGGTAAAAATGCTCCTCTGCATTTACAAATGTGTCTCTTTTTCTCAACTCCAAAAATTGGGAGGTTGTATTATTGTGCAGTACAAATTTCTGTGAATTTGCTAAGGATGGGATTTCATTTATGTGCTTGATTTGAAAAGTAGAATCAATATACAGCAATGGTGCAATGAAATTAACTATAATACCACCATAATTGTGTATTTTTAATCAAGCCAAGATAATATGAGATGAGGTTATTAACCGCTTCCTGACCGCCCTATAGCAGAAATACTGGTGCACAAAATCACGTATATAAGTATATGTGATCTTGCATTCCCGGGTAGGGGGCACATGCGGCTTGCTGCCATGGCTGTCAATCACCGGGTCCCAGCCAGTAATTACTAGCCAGAACCGGGTGATTTCTGAGGATCTCTGACGGGGAGGAGAACTGTTTTGTTTACTAACAGTTCTCCATGTCAGCTCGGGCACACTGCTCTGGATGGCTGTGCTGTGCACAGCCATCCAGAGCACTGTGATTACAGTGATGCACACAGACACCTCTTCCTAGTAAAATACTCCCTGCACACAGTTAAACCTTTGATCGCCCCTCTTGTTAACCCCTTCCTGCCCAGTGCCATTAGTACAGTGTCAGTGCTTTTTGTTTTAGCACTGATCATTGTATTGGTGTCACTGGGGATGTCAGTGACACCAAGTCAGTTCCCCCCAATGTCAGAATGTATGCCGCAGTCCCGCTATAAGTCACTGATCACCGCCATTACTAGTAAAAGTAAAAACATTTCAAAAAAGACATTTGTGAACGCTATAACCTTCACGTAAACTAATTAATTTACACGTATTTGGATTTTTTTTTTAGCAAAGACGTAGCAAAATACATTTTGGTGTACATTTATGATGAAATTTTTTTTTTTTTTTATTTTTTTACTGGACATGTTTAATAGCAAAAAGTAAAAAATATTGTTTTTTTTTCTCAAAATTGTCCTTTATTATATATTACCGTATTTTCCGGCGTATAAGACGACTGGGCGTATAAGACGACCCCCCTACTTTTCCTGTTAAAATGTAGTGTTTGGGCTATACTCGTCGTATAAGACTACCCCTCTTCCAATGCACACCAGTGGGAAGAATCGTGCCCCATCATTGGTGTCAGTGGGAGGAATAGCACCCCATCATTGGTGTCAGTGGGAGGAATAGCACCCCATCATTGGTGTCAGTAGGAGGAATAGCACCCCATCATTGGTGTCAGTGGGAGGAATAGTGCCCCATCATTGGTGTCAGTGGGAGGAATCGTGCCCCATCATTGGTATCAGTGGGACGAATAGTGCCCCATCATTAGTATCAGTGGCAGGAATAGTGCCCCATCATTAGTATCAGTGGGGGGAATAGCGCCCCATCTTTGGTGCAAGTGTGAGGAATCGTGCCCCATCATTGGTGTCAGTGGGAGGAATAGTGTCCCATCATTGGTGTCAGTGGGGGGTGGAATAGTGCCCCATCATTGGTGTCAGTGGGAGGAATAGTGTCCCTTCATTGGTGTCAGTGGGGGGTGGAATAGTGCCCCATCGTTGGTGTCAGTGGGGGGGGAGGAAAAGTGCCCCATCGTTGGTGGGAGGAATAATGCCCCATCATTGGTATCAGTGACACCAATGATGGGGCACTATTCCTCCCACTGACACCAATGACACTTGCTGACCCCTGTTCAGTATGGTGCTGCTGCAGCCAGCATATATGGTTGCAGCAGCACCTGTGCACGGCACACTTACCTTCACTTGATTTTCGTGGGGCTGCTCAGCTCCACCTCCTCGCCAGTGATTGGCCGTCTGTGTGCCTTTCTTGAGCTACAGTTCTGGCGGCCAATCACCGGTGAGGAGGCGGAGCCGAGAAGTCGTGCGAACATCCAGTGGCCGAACTGAAGGAAGGAGCAGCCGTGCTTCCTGGACCGGATCGTCGTGGGACCGGAGCCAGGTAAGAAACAGAAGCCCCTGCCCACCCCTGTACTTAGTTTCCCTTCCGTTGGAAGGTGGCGGGCGGCGGCGGCACTGCGCTGCCCCCCTAAAAAGTGTCAGCATGCCGTATACCAGCATATAAGACGACCCCCGACTTTTGAGAAGATTTTCAAGGGTCAAAAAGTCGTCTTATACGCCGGAAAATACGGTAGATTAATTAATTAATTAATTAATTAATTAATTAAAAATCACACAGGCAATCAAATACCTCTGAAAGAAAGCTCAATTTGTGGGAAAAAAAGGACATAAATTTCATTTGGGTGCAGCATTGCATGACCGCTCAATTGTCAGTTAGAGTAACGCAGCGCCATAACGCAAAAAATAGCCTGGTCAGGAAGGGGGGTAAATCCTCAGGAGGGCAAGTGGTCAATAGACAATCTGACATTGCCTTTCATTGCTTTGCTACGTAGATACAACCACACCATACATTTTGCCAAGCTAGTATCAGTACTGGGTGTTTTAGTTATTTTAAAGTGAATAAAGCACATGAGCAACAACCAGCTCCCATTCCAATGTGTAGGCGAAGCTTTAGACGTGATCTTATTAGTTGTCCTTTACATTTGAATTATCATTTGGACACACTGTATGAACATTTCCATCATTTGAAGCCAGTTCATAAATAGTCTTAGGTGCCAATGCTTCCTTTTACAAATGATATAAAAAATGTGTTTTCATTAAATCACAGTTGAAGGTGGCGATCAATCAAGTCATCTGGGCTTTGAGTGACTGTTTGCGCTGTATTGACATGATTGAACGCCACGCCTAGTGTAAACCATTTGTCCTCCCATTCCAGCTGAAACAGCTTCTCCTTGAAAATTTTTTTCATTATAAATCATATTGATTAAATAAACGTTTGAGGCTACACTCCTGTTCACTGTAACGCGGGATTAAAAATAGCACAACAGATTCACATCTCTACAAACAGATCATCATATGTATTACTGCAAAATGTAGATGACTGGCTCATAATATTCTAAAAGTAGACCAGTCACCATGGCAACCCTTTTTCTCTGTGAAGTGTAATTAATAAGGAACGAGAAAAGTACATTACACATACATATCCTGTTGTTGTTTGAAAAAAAATAATAATAAAGTTGTAGTTTTATCTGTGAAATCTCATTTTCATGGCAGATTGGGCCACACAAATTAATGCCAACCTGCATATGTTTCTCAATCAGAATGTTATTTTTATCAGGTCTTATGTAGCTTATGGTGTTGTTTAAATATAATGAGAAGTTTTCTGCATACTGTAAATTGGTAGGTATATCAAAGACTGCAGTAGCAAAAATGAATGAAATGTGGGCTGTCCATGTTGCCCATAACTGTCGTATCTCAGCTTAGGGTGAACCTCACTGGTGGTTACCAGAAAGGGCTCATCCACAACAAGCAGTGTCATGGTGGACATACACGCTTTGATAAATGATCAATTTCATTACCGATCAAACTTTTCTGATAGGAATAATCAATCTATAGTTGACAATCCATTTGATTTATATGCCACACATGGGGAAGTTGACTTAGATTGATAGCTAAGATACGATTGTAACTTACAATTGTAAAGTTATCAATCACATCTCTGTTCCTACCACATAATCTTATCATCTGATCATTTGAAATAAAATCTCCTTTAGGAACCAGATGTCTTAGTGCTGCAATGCA